TTTCATATAAGATATAAATATTTATTTAATATGAATATATTATTTCTTATATTTATTTTATATTATATTACTAATTATTAGTTATAATTTTACTCAAATGTATGTTTTGAAAAAATATAATCATATACAAATTATTATTCATTAAATATAATTTAAATAATATATAAGTTATCTTTTTATTTATTATAATTTATATTTTTATTATTTGTTTAATTGTATAATTAAGTTTTGAATAGATAATATTATTTCATGCAAACTAATAAATAGAAGAGTTGGAGTTTATCCACCCAGGTACGTATCGGTTACGCAGCGATCTTGCTTTATCAAAGTGGCACGCTTCCCAACAACCCCAATTTGAGTATTCAACGCGCTTCTTCACTTTGAGGCCACACCTCCTATATGTTCAATTTTCTTATCAACTACTTCTCTTTCAAAAATACGGAACACATTTTTTTTCCAAATCATTTTTATTTTCACATAACATAAGCATGTCATATTTTAAATATATTATTTTCTATAAAAACTACTATGAAATAGTACATTTAAACTAATGTTCCCTGAATAATTAAATATTTTTTAAACTTCAATTTTTATGAAAATAAAAAAGATTTTTAACAACTAAGTGAACGCTCAACACACTTTTTTTTCTCAACAAAATTAAAAGTATAATGGTGAAGAATAAAAAATCATAAGGAAGGAAATAGAAATTGAGTAATCATATAAATAAATTATAAATTTTGAGTGAATAAGTCAAAAGAAAATAAAAAAAGAGATAAAATAAATATGTAATAGATTAAATAGTCTTATTTTATTTATCTATTTTTAAAACACAAATTATGATGTTAGACAAATGACATCTAGAGGGGGTGAATAGATGCACAAATTAAAATAGATGCCAAATTAAAAATTTATTTGTGAGTCAATAATTTGATTGAACACAGATAAAACGGAAGCAATAATATAATCAGGAAAAGAGAAAAAGATAAGAAAAAGAAAAGAGTGCATAGATATTTATACTGGTTCGGGTATAGTCAACCACCCTACATCCAGTTCTCAGTCAACTCTTAACACAAGAGTGACTCCCCATTCACTATATTTCAAATTCAGTTTACAAATTACGATCAACTCAGCAGAAGAACCAATAAAGAGTAAACTAATTAAAAAGACAATCACCTCCTTAGAAACTCACTAATTATGAACCTCCCTAGAATCTCACTAGGGATGAACACCTCCTTTGAACAAATCAAAGGATAAAAACACCTCCTTAGAATCCCACTAAGGATGAACACCTCCCTAGAATCACACTAGGGATGAAAAATACCTCTTTTTCACCAATACAAACAGGATGAAGGTAATAAAAATAAGAACAAACACACCTGGGTAATGGAGACAACAAATTGTAGAAGCCTGTAGAATGTCAATATCCAAGAACAAATGTAATGAAAGCACAAAAGACAAGAGTGAAGAGGGTTTTCTCAAAAAGTGTAAAATATCTCTATTGTCTTCGCTTAAAATTCTTTTTTCAAAACTGATTGAATGTAAATTATATTTTCGAATTTTGTAATTGTGTATTTTTTATTTTTCATCAAAATTTAATTAAATAGAAAAATAACATCGAAAATGGGCGTTGGACATTAATAATATCATAGAGAAAATCAAGATGTATTAAAAAATATTTATTATTTAAAACAAATATATTTTTCAAATTTGAATTGTCATAATTGATTATATTACCGATATAATTAATTAAGATAGAGAAAATCATTTTTCCATTTCCGATGCATCATAATTGATTATGACAGAGAAAAATATCATGTTATGAATTTTATCACACTTGTGCTTTGGAGGCTTATGCATAATATTACTTCGTCAACTTATACCTCCATATTTAGCATTCTAAGACTCTATCTAGTCTTCGGGAATTATCTTGAGTTTTCTTGAATCATCATCTTTATAAAAAAACATATATTGGGCATGTAGGGAAATGTTTCATATTTTCACCAACGTCATAAATTCAACTTTTCTTAATTCATCTTGAATGGTGTTAACTTGAATATAGTTGACTTGAATCATCATCAAAATCATCTCTTGAGAATATAGGAACATTTTCAATAATCTCCCCTTATTGCTTTCATATGATTATCAGGGAATTACTTAATAAAAATAAAGGTTTTTTAAATAAAAGATAATGTGTATTATTAAAATTGATATCTCTAATCAATAATTCTTTACATATAATATTTAATAATATAATTGTAATGGATAATAAAAAAATGTAATAAACAATAAAATATATAAAAAATAATCATATAATTTGACATCGCTTAATTTTTCTCTAATGTAATTCATCTTATAAATTTTAGTATATCACTATGATTAATTAAAAAGTTTGTTATATGAATTTTACTTTGTGTGTAGGATATATATTATCCTAACGAATTTATTTCACATATTATATATATATTATATTATATTATCGATCAATTCATTTATTATATAAAATTGTGATATTTAAATTGAATTTATAAAAAATAATCATAATTATAAATAGAGACATTTTAACATGAATATAAAACATTTTAAAAATAGGTTCATAAATTTAAGCACTGACTTATTTTATAAAATTATAATTATTTTTTAAATAAAAATAATATTATTTTATTAAATATATGTATATATATTATAAATTAATTTAATAATAAATTTATTTATTATAAGAATAAATATTAAAATAAATTTTTAATAATTATTTATTTTAAGATGTAATAATTACGATTAAATATTATTTAAGATCAATATATTATTTTAAAAAATAAATAATAATAATAATAAATAAATTTTTAATTCTTATTTTAATGTTAAATAAATTTATATATATATATATATGTTTAATATATTTATATATACTTTTATAAATATTATATTATCATATATAAATTTTATATAAGTATATTTAAATATATATAAATATATTTTTATTATATATAAAAGTATACATTTATATTTATTATATATTATATTTAATAAAATTATAATATATATATAACAAAATATCGAATTTATAAAAATATATAAATATATTAAAATATAATAAAAATATTTATATATATAATTTTATATTAAAATTATTTTATATTATATTAATAAAAATATATTTATCATATTTTTATAAAAAATATTATTTTTTACTTACTAAAATTATTTATATTAAAAAAATATTTAAATAATATATATAATTTATTTATATAAAAATGTTATCTAAAAAAATATAAATATCTACATATATATTTATTAAATTTTATTATATTTATAAAAATATAAATAATTATTTAAATATTATTATATATAAATTAAATATATTTGTATTTACTATATTTATAAAAATATTTTAATAATATAATTATATAAATATATTTTTATTTTATATAAAAATTATATTTATATTTATTTTATATATATATATATATATAAATAAAATTTTATAATATATATTTATTATATTTAATAAATATTATTATATTTTAAAAATACTATTAATTTTCAAGGTCGACGGCCGCTAACTGAATTCCACTTTACTGTGCCAACGTATATTTAGTTTAATTGGCTGTTAGATTTAAAAAAAATTATTAATTTTTGACGTAAATATTTTTTATTAAGTATTTTAAAAAGAATTAATATAAATTTAAAAAATATATTTAAAATGGATTAAATTCTTAAATTTATTTAATGATTAACTTTGTATAAGACCATTTTGAAGTAGTTGATGTAGATTATAAATTACATCAGAATAAAAATTTAACAATTTAATAAATTCAAACATTAATTTAAAATTTAAAATAAAAAATTAAGATGGAAAATTATTATAATTTTAAAGAATATGAAATGTTTCATTAAAAATGGTTGATCCGAAATAGATGAGTTTCCGTAGGTAAAATTGTTGTCTTTTTAGAAAGAAAAAAAAAAACGTGAAAATTGAAGAAAAGTAAAAAAGGTGAGAACGCGCTGGAGGCCGCGAGCGGAGACAACACCCATCAACACTTTTTTCCACATTTTTTTGTTTATTATCATTATTTTTCGTAACTCATCGTATTAATACGAGAAAATAGTGTATATATTAAAATGAGAAAACAGTGTATATATTAATACAACAAATAAAAGTACATCAATTTTAAATTTTTTTATTGTATTTCAAATTAATATGATATTAAAATTTTTATATTATCCAAACATAAAATCAATCTAGTAATATCAAGGAAAAATATTTGTTATATTTTTTAATAATATTATTATTTACTAAAATAGAAAGAAATATACACCAAAAGTATATTTTTAATATATATCATTAAAAATAATATTTTTAAATGACTAAAATAAAGTTGTTTTAAATAAAATTAATATTTTAAATTAGCATATTTTTATCAGTTTTTGAATATATTTTTTATTAAAAATTTATCAGACCAACTTATTAACTAAGAAGTGAAACATGTAAAACTGTTAATAGTAATGCAGTGGCTAAGTTAAAAATGATATTTTTCTTTAATTCTTTAATTGTAATTTTCTTATAATATCTGTCTTGGATTTTATTAAATTTTATTTTGCAAGTATTAAATTTAACATATGTTTTTATTTTATTTTCTTTAATTAAACTTTGACAAAACACATTCATTTTAAAAATGATAAAAAATTAATCAAATAAATATAAAAAAAAAGTAAACTTTACAGAATTGAATGTTTCATCAAAATTAAGAAGTTTATAAATCTATACAGTAAAATCACAGAAAAAAAAGATCACAAAAACATACATTGAAAATTGGATAGAACCAAAATTACAATTTATTATAATAAATTTTAAAATATAGCGAAAAAACCGTGAGAACATATTTTACCTAATAATAATAAAATAATTATCTATAAATGCAAGTAACGAAGTGAACAAATCAAATCTCTTCTCTCAATCTCACCACTTTTCCGTTCTCTGCGAATTCACGAAACACAAGAAGATGGAGAAAGCGATCAACAGACAGAAGATTTTGCTTCATCATCTCAACCCTTCATCATTCACCCACGCAAACGAATCATCCTCCCTCTCTGTTAGTTTCACTCCCCTTTTCTGTCTTCACTTTCTCATCAGGAATATGGCGTTTTCATCTTTACCCTTTTTATTTGATCTCATGATGCTTGTTTGGCTTGTGGGAAAACTACCGCTTTGTCAACTCTGCTAGAATCAGCTCAAAATTTTGTTGAAGTTTTGATATATATATATATATATATATATATATATATATATATATATATATATATATATATATATATATATATATATATATATATATATATATTCATTTCATAGGTTGTTTGGCATGTGTGATAATAACCCTTTTGTTACTTCTATGACAAATTGTTCTCTTCTTTGATTGTTAGCTTTGAATTTTATAGAAATTTTGATCTTGTATGTGTGAATGAGAATTTGTTTTCTTGATCGATTACTACATCAGAATTGTATAGAAATTTTGATCTTGGATGTATTTATAATTTTATAGGCTGCTAGAGTTCGAGTGGGGGTTGGGGAAGAAGGTTAAATATGACTCTTTTGCTACATATAGTTTCCTTTATTGATTGTTAGGATTTAGTTATTTATTATAAAACAATATGTATATGGATGTGTTCATGTGCTGAATGTGTGTATATTTGTTCAATAGGTTGTTTCACTTGTTTGGCGTATTTAGAAGTCTCCTTTTTGTCTTTTAAATTGAAATTATGTTTTTTGATTAATTGTTTGCTCAGAATTCTATGTAAATTTTGATGTTGTATATATTTATGATTTTATATGCCTGATGGATTGTTTTGCTACACATGGTTTCCTTGATGGATTGTTAGGCTTTAGCTGTACATTTATATCACAAAACAATTTGTTGATGTTTTAATATGCTGCCACTTGATTGTTTCTATGTTGAACATTTGATCACTAGGCTTCAGCATGTGCGGCAGGGGATAGTGCTGCTTATCATAGGACATCTACATTTGCTGACGATGTTGTAATCGTGGCGTAAGTTCTGCTCATACTCAAATGAAATATCTCACATTAAACAATCTACGGTTGTGAATTTTAAGTATTTGTCTTTGAGGGATCTTTAATTTTTACCCAAAATTATGTATATGCAATTTTGCAGTGCTTATCGGACTGCTCTTTGCAAATCTAAGCGTGGTGGTTTCAAAGACACTCATGCTGATGATCTACTTGCTCCTGTCTTGAAGGTTTTATTTTTTATTTTTTCCTTTTGATTTTTAGCTTTTGTGCATTTTCAATTTTAAATGAGTTCCAACATATAACTGCTTTTCTTAAGCTGTGATGATTTTTATTCACATTTACTTTGTACTGTAGTTCATAGTTTACTCTATTAAATATTAATGTTTTAGTCTATGACTCTACATGAGCACGAGTTTTCATTGTAGGCTGTAATTGAGAGAACCAATGTCAACCCAAGTGAAGTTGGGGATATTGTTGTGGGCACAGTATTGGCTCCTGGATCTCAAAGAGCTAGTGAATGCCGTATGGCTGCATTTTATGCTGGTTTTCCTGGTATGTGTAGATATTTGTTCTTGTCAATCTGACATGTGACTCTGATTTGTTAATGATAACACATGTGATTTTATTTCCATTCAGAAACTGTGGCTGTTAGGACTGTTAATAGACAATGTTCATCTGGGCTCCAGGCTGTAGCCGATGTAGCTGCTGCTATAAGGGCTGGGTTCTATGACATTGGTAAAGGATGCATCAATTTGCCTGGTTCTTCTTGTGATTGCTATGACTTTTAGTTGCTTATGTTACCTTTAATTATTTTGTGTAGGTATTGGTGCTGGATTGGAATCTATGACAGCGAATCCAATGGCATGGGAAGGATCAGTGAATCCTAAAGTATTTTCTTTTCCTCACTCCATTTCCTCAGCTTCATTGTATAAGTTTAAATTTTGGTTTTAGGAAATAAAACCTTTAAATACAAGGTTATAATATTTCCTTGGGTGTTGTGACAGGTAAAAATGTTTGAACAAGCACAAAACTGCCTTCTTCCAATGGGGATTACCTCTGAAAATGTTGCACATCGCTTTGGTGTTTCAAGGAACGAACAAGATCTGGCTGCAGTAAGTTAAATATATGTTTTAATGCAACGTAAACTTCTATTTTATAATTTAACAACTTTGAACTGAATCTTCCTAACAATTATGTTGATAGGTTGAGTCTCACAGGCGAGCTGCTGCAGCTACTGCTTCTGGTAGATTTAAAGATGAAATTATCCCAGTTTCCACCAAGGTATTTGTCATTACAGGGTATATTGAATCTTTTTTTGGTGTCTTGGGTGCTGAATAAAACCTTTTTTTCTTCCAACAGATTGTGGACCCAAAAACTGGTGAGGAGAAATCTGTCACCATTTCTGTTGATGATGGAATTCGACCTGGAGCAACATTGTCTGATCTAGCAAGGCTCAAACCTGTGTTCAAGAAAGACGGAACCACTACTGCTGGTATAAGATCATTAAAACTTGGTTTGTTCCCCCCATAGCCCTTCTAATTGATGTTCAGAATTTAATCATGTGATGCCTGTGCTTTAGGTAATTCTAGCCAGGTGAGTGATGGTGCTGCAGCTGTTCTACTCATGAAAAGAAGTGTTGCTGTGCACAAGGGGCTACCCATTCTTGGTGTATTCAGGTACTTAGCCTGTGACATATAAGCTGTAGTCCCTGCAATATTTATATACTGATTTCATATTGACATGCCGAGTGTTCTATGAAGAAAGTTTGAAAGAAGTTTGAAATATTGAGAAAAAATATATTTTGGAATAGATATTAAATCAGTGCTAAGCTGGAGAATGATGTACTTTTTCTCTGATTTGGCCACATAAAATACATTAATACTTCATCTGGTTTCATATGATACATCTAGTTCCTTCTTATACTAGTGTGTATTTTGACTATCAAGTCCTACTAGGTTAGTACAAATTTTCTTGCTAACTAAACCAGCAACTTTTGGCACAAGTTTTCACCATAGAGTGATCTATTCATCAAAAGTATAAGTGCACATAACTCCAAATACATTTAAAAAATGATACTGACAAATTCATGTTTTATCCACTCTCTTATTCGAGTGCATCCCTGTTAGAAAAATATAAAAGAACTTGCATTACACTATAATCCCTAAATACAAGATTCAGGCCCTTTATTTCCACATACGATATTATCAAGGAAGACTACAATTTATTGAACAAACTTGTCAAGCATTTCTTTTAGAAGCTGGAATTTCATATTTATATATTTGTCCTTCTTATAATGAATTATTCGATCCTAACATAAAAAAATCATATTCTATTATCATTGTACGTAAAATGTGAAATTGAATAACTGATTAGATAAAAATGTGAAATTATTTATTGGCTGTCATCTAGGACTTTCACAGCAGTTGGTGTTGATCCTGCCATTATGGGTGTGGGCCCTGCTGCTGCAATTCCTGTTGCTGTTAAGGCTGCTGGTCTAGAGCTTGATGATATTGATCTTTTTGAAATAAATGAGGTACTTGGCCATTGTGTTTGTTACATTTCCTTTTTCTCTGTCTGAATTTGTATTTACTCACTTCAATAACATGCTTCTGTTCAGGCATTTGCTTCCCAGTTCGTATATTGCCGTAACAAGCTAGGGCTTGATCCAGAAAAGATCAATGTTAATGGAGGAGCAATGGCAATTGGGCATCCTCTGGGTGCAACAGGTGTATATCACAACCTTTTATCTTACATTCCAAATGCAACACCACCACTTGTGATTACAAAATACAAGATAGATCTTGCCTGTGGCTGAAGTAGCCAATAACCATAGAGAAGAATTTACTGCTAAAAGTTTACCATGATATATACAAAATTTCCCTTTCTTTTAGTTAGTTAATTAAGTAATATTGTCAAACATGTGCTTAGGTAAGAAACTACTCTGGCTAATTGGAGTGTTTAAACGGGGAAGCAACCTGTCATTACCAAACAGACTTGAAAGTCGACTGGTACTATCGGACTAGATTAGGATATCTTAGTTTTTGACTCACAATAAGGACTCAAACCTGGAACCCTTGGATGTAAAGTGATAGATATGCCACTGAACCAAGTTAGTCTGTTGATTATTTTGCTCATAAACTCATATAGTATATATTGGATACTCTGCCTGGACGTGATTATTGTCACCTGCACTTGTCAAATACCTATAATATAGAGGCATTTTTTTTTTTGTCTTGCAAGCATGATTTTCATTTTTATTTTCATTTTTATTGGTAGGCGCTCGATGTGTCGCAACGTTGTTGCATGAAATGAGGAAACGTGGCAGGGACTGCCGATTTGGAGTTATATCCATGTGCATAGGTAAACTCACTTTGCTGTTGTATTTTTGCCTGGTTGCATTCACATAAATATCCTGCAAAATATGATGCCATTGTCTATTGTGAGTGTAGGTACTGGAATGGGGGCCGCTGCTGTTTTTGAGCGAGGTGATTGTGCTGATGAGCTATGCAATGCTCGGAAAGTGGATGACCTTCTTTTGTCCAAGGATGCTCGCTAGAAATAGTTTCTTCATACTTGCTCATCAAACAAGAAATCACAATAAAGCTTTGTCCTATGTTAGTGAAAATGTCAACCACTGCCCAAGAATTTAAAACTTCTATTTCATAAAACTCGCTGTACTTTGTGATATATATTGGTAAACTATTGAATAAATTCAAATTTTTGAAATATGAATAAACGGTTGTAAGAAATTCATACCTATTGACAAAATTTTTTGAATCTTTATGTAAAAGGTCTATAACCATTTTGATAATATATCCAAATCTACTCTTTTTTGGTTGAAAGATATTCCTATGGTCCCAACGAATAAAGTAAAGAAAACTAAAACAAGCATAGAAAATTGCATAGTATTATCAGATTTATTAGGATATAAACAAACAATTTTTTTATTACCAAAATTGGTAATACTAAAAACAAGACGTGTTATTTTTTTTAGATTTTGATTAACACAACGTAGATATCTTTTCTGGATAAAAAAAGAAGTCATTTCATTCTTTGTAAAACTAATAAAAAATTTTCTTTTTTTAATTTAAGTTTTACTGTCTCTTCCCAAAAAGATATTGAATAGAATGAACTATTTTTTTCCATTGAAATTAAAAAAATGAACGTTTAAATATCCTTCAAAAACAAGTAAATAAATACGAAACATATAAAATGCAGTTAATTCTGCTGCAGAACAAGCTATTATACAACCTACTATCATTAACAATCTCATCCTTATACCAAAAACAGGCAAAGGATGGAATACCGCAGAGATACAGTATACCCACTAAAAAAAAAGTTCTATATTGGTAAACTCGCTGTACTTTGTGATATATATTGGTAAACTATAAAAACACATTTTTTCTCCCATCTCCTTCTCACCCTATTTCTCTCTTCCTCACCTGCTTTTACATTTTTCACACTCTTCTCCCTACACTTTATCCACCCTAATTAGGGTGAAGAATAAGAAACAATATTTCAATTTTTTCTAATATTTTTCCCAAGTCTGTTTGATAGAGAACGTACAAACAAACATATTTTTGGTTCTCAGTCATCTCTATCAGTGAAAAGAAAAAAAGCAAATATATTTTATTGATTTATATTGCATAAATGAACAGAACAAGTTTTTATTTATTTTTCTACTTTAATAATTTTCATAAATTATTTATTATATGCTTTTTATAAATAGTTTATTTTTGTATATTTATATTATCATTTATTCTCCTAAACTTTTAATCTTTGAACTTTAGAAATCTTATATTTTAAAAAAAAAAATTGTCGTATCCTGAGTGACAAAAGAGAAAATGATGCCGAAATTTTTTAATTTCCGATAGGAGTAAGTAAAAATTCTGATATTTATAAGGATGATTATCATATTGTATAATTTTTATTTAAGAATGATTATGCATAGTGATTTATGTTCAAGTTATTTAAGATTATATTTAATAGCTTTTAATGTTATGTTTTGATGATTTTATGGCAATGTATTCAATGTAAATTATAATTTTTATAGAGCTAAAATAAACTTTAATTAAAATAAGATACCCTACACATACACACAAGATATGACCATACACATGTATAAACCAATGAAAAAAAAAACATTTTTTATTTAATAACAAAAACTTTCAATCGTAGTTAAAATATAAGTATATTAAATAATAAATATACATTCATGTGCAATTTTCGTGAAAGATTTTAAACAAATTAGCAATGCACTTCTTAAATTTTAAACACTATATTACACATACATTCTTTAAAAAAGTTATTGTAATAACATTAAAAGCAAAAGGTGTAAATATAGTTTGAAATAATATCAGAAAACATAGAAACAAAATTTAAGAAAGCAGAAAATTAAAATAATCTGACATTTTAATGATTAAAAGTATAAGCATAAAATAAAAAGTTATTGGTGGAGGGGATATGCCAGGCTTATTACGATATTTCTTTTTCTTTCTTCATCGAAATGATAGACTTCTCTCTCCGTTTGAATGTGGACCCCACAACCAATTATAATTCAAAAGAAGCGTATGCCTCCACTCACTTTTGAATATCAAAAGTAAAACAAGCTATGTGATGTTATACAAGTCTATTACACTATCAGCTTTTACTTTTTTCCTTCGAAAACAAAATCATGTGGCTGATCAATGAATATCTAATGCATCAAAACATAAATTAAACATTTAAATCCCAAAATGAATTAGGTGATTGACGACTTGCACACGGGGCATGTTGTTCTCCTCCGGAGCCAAGGATCGATACACTACAAAAAAGAAAGACTAAAGCAAATTAGGCTTTTACAATTACTACTTAGAAAAGAAACGAATATATTTAACGGTCTCACATCTTTGTGAAATTTGTGCAAACAAGGAAGGTGGCGAATAGTTTCCCCCCTGGCTGGGGTCTCAAGACATATAGCACATGGCTCTGTCACGTTGTCATTCTGTGTCAAATGAACAGAAACATATATTAGTATTGAATAGAAAATCATTCCATTTCCCCCCAACCCCTATCTCACCAGGTGCGCCAAAACTGAAATTCGAACAGAACATGGAGGGTTGAGTGAAAATGGAGACAGGGTCAAGGGTTTCATCCTGGAATTGGAAAACTAATTTAACAAGAGCGAATTACCTGGATGGTTGACTGCGGAAGGCTATTGATCAGATTGGTAGATGCACCAGTATGTTGGTGATTTCTCTCATCAAGGGCCAATAACCTTTCATAATCACTTCTGCACGAGGACATGAACCATAAAAATTCATTTTTATACAAAACAAACGTAGAAGAAATTAAAAAATTCTGTAAACAACTGTGAAGCCACTACCCAAGAACTTCATAAAAAAATTCAAATATCAAGGAATAGAAACATATTGAAAACTGAGTATACTATGTTATAGGACCTCGCAGAACCAAAAAACTTGTGTTTTAATGATGTGCAGTACTCTCAATATACAGAAGAACTTGTATGCTGCCTCCTCTCAACGGTATCTGTGTCTCATTCAGTCCTTTCCCTCACTTTCTAAGTTGTTTTACTATACTCAATTTTATGATGAGTTAAGAAGCTTAGTTTAGAGATTAAAATAAATGACGAAATTATAAATTATTCAATACAAACTTACTCGTTGAAATCACGTAGCTCATTAAAGATGTCATCAGCCATTCCCATATCTCTGAAACCCCCCATTGAATCCTCTAAAGCTTCCAATATATCAAGTCTCTGCACAGGAGAGATGGATGCCATGGAAAATTAAAATTATAATTATGCAATACCACAGAATTCCAATTTACAATTTAAAAATTCAAAGACAAATATCAATATGCTGAGGCTAAATACACATTGTACTTAACTTGGTTTAATGATTTTACTTATATCCCTTAAGTTCTATTTTGTTCAAAATAACTCGTAACCTTATCGTGGCAAAGTTTACCATGTACATAGTTCCAACCCTAGTTCTTATATGTGGACCTGATGTGACAAACATGGAATGAATTGGAGGGTGGCATCTTTGAAATGTCACATTTGTCCCTAAATTTATTTTTTTAACTTACACATTCATCCACAATATTTTGTTTTCTTTTGTCCCTCGATTTATAAAATCATATCAGCGTTACCCTCAATACTAGATCTACCAATGAACTAAATTATCCACCTAATAGCTACATGTCAAATCATTTAATTTGTGGCATATGAACTGAAAAGGTAGAGATACATACTTTGTTTGGCTTTCTTAGATAAAAAAATAAAACAGAAACTAGAAAAAAAAAAAAAAAAAATTAAAAACTACAGGGCACCCTAGTCCCCCCACAAACAAAATGTGGAGACTCCCGTTACAAAACCAGTGAATACAGTACCAGAGAAGGACCTTAGGGGAAAATAAAGAAATGCCTTCTAACATGGAGACATCATACAACAAGTCTACAACAAAACACTCTAGTAAAGTTATTATTATATCAATGAAATAATAACAAAATATTACTGCAAGCTACCAAAACATGACACTGCAAGAAAATTTACAAAGTCATCAAGGCATCCAAAGAGAAGTAAAAAAGGAAAGAAAACAAGAAAAGATCAGAGGGAAAATGTAAGAAAATACCGTGTCCAAGTCCATATCCAGAGGAAACCGGGGGCCTCTTCCTCTATATGACATGTTAGGTGTCCGAGTCCTACTTGGAACACGACTCCTCAACCGTGACATTCTATTAGGGAAAGAACCTTGAGGCATAGCTCTCCTTCTAGAAGAATTTTGATTAGGCCATATACGAGACTGTCTATTTGCCCTAGGAATCCGTGTCTGTATAATGAAAAAGTAGGTTTGTTAAATCCCCCCGCTCAACTATCAATAACTCTCTCTATATAGAGCAACTTTTCTGCCAGCATAATACTGGCTAAGCAACTAGATATCCTCTTTACTGTACAAGTTCTAATAATACTTTTCTTGCTTCCTATTAACAAAAAAATATGCTCAGGACAGATAAATTCTTGAGAACTGTACAGTTATGCCAAATAATAAAGATAATGGTTGTCATATGAAGCTTTCAAGTTTCTTCCAGACATTTCCACCTATAATTCCACACCGTCCACCAATCATCTTGAAGTCTTTTAAGTATATTTGAAAGGGTTATATAAGTATATACAGGACAAATTTTAGTATTGCTGCATAAAAGGAAGCATCTTAACAACATAATATTAAGTGAAACAATCAAGAAACTTTGCTTATACAGAAAGAAGTTCTATTTAACATATTCAATTCAGAGAAAGAGAACAAGGCTTAGTTACAGAATAATTTATGTTGTGATTATCAATAGGTGTATCCAGAAGATCCTCTGCATGCTGCAACTCCCACGCTAAATGTTCATCAATCTGCAACAAATCAACATGTGAAGTAGTTGTCGTAAATAAGAAACATATGCTTAATCTACATCTAATACAAGGCGAGAAAAATGAAAAAGAAAAGAAAAAACAAACCCCTGTGTCTTCGATAGAATCATCATGATACAATTGTTCTTGGAGTTCACGTGCCAATATCTCATCTGCTTCCACTTGTCTAGCCCGAGCTTCCAAGCTATTACTATCATTATCATCTAAATCTTCACTTGATCTGTATCTTGGTGTGGATAACAACTCAATCACTTCAGGATCCACACGGCTCTGGGATGTGCTTGCTGAATTCCTTGGTGTGGTTAACAACTCTACCAATTCCGGAAATGAACTTGATTCCCCAGGTGATTCACGTTTCCTTTGCCTTTTAGTCAGAATGTCAGCAGTAGGACGAATACCTGATGACTGGTCCACGTCTAGAATGATCCCAGAACTTGGTTGAGCTGTCTTATCTGATTGAGAACCGTGTACATGTGTGCTGCTTTGATCATTCCCAATGTTTATTTTGTCCATTCTGCATGTATTCCGTCTATGAATAATTCTTCCAACACCACTATTTCTCGTCAAATGATGCCCATGTACATCATACAAGTGCCGATTAGCATTCCTCTCATTATGAGTAGTTCTCCATCCACCTTGTCCCCCAGAGTATTGATGCGAATTTCTTGTATCATTACTGCTACCAGTGACCTCTTCATAATTGATCACAGGGCTGCTGAAGAAGTATCAAATTCCTTCTCAGTATTAGTCCACAGAAACAGAAAAGTTGCAGAGAACAATGAAAGTATTCACCAATAGATTCAAAATGACTCCCTGTTTAAGCAAACATCTGAAATTATGAAACAAGATTGCAAACCTCACAATCCTCACTATAAAGGCTGGCTATGGAGAGACTGGTCAGAAAAGCTAAGTGAACTCTCAGGATTTCAACTCTTATGAGTTGAGATCTCCCATCAACTAGAGATATGGTCAATGTAATTTTGCTAATCCTTACCACGAGATATGGCAAAAATTAAGTTTGACTTTTAACAACCAACAAAAATAAAAGTTGCAAAGCACAATGAAAGTATTCACACCTCCAACAGAATTTTGAATGACTCCCTGTTTAAGAAATAATTTGACAAAATTATGAAACTGCAAACCTCGGAATCCTTGCTGTAATGGCTATCTATGGAGGGACTGATCAGAAAAGTCAAGCGATGTCTCAGGATGTTGACTCTTAGTAGAATAAGATCTCATATCAACTAGAGATATAGTCAATACAATCCCTATAAGGCTTTGCTAATCCTCACCACAAGAGCCAGTTTTGTAGGGTGGACCCTAAGCTCAAATTCATAAGACAATCAGAATTACCTTAATGCTAGAGGAAGATTTTTCTGACTTGACGACCAAGGTTTAATATATATGCACTTTTTTATGATAAAACATTTTACCACAATAAATGAACTGCATGCATGCATTTTGATCAGGAAAGAAGAAATAATCTCATTTTAGTTTCAGTTGAAACCCAAAAATCAAATCCACTTAAGAGAACCAATTTCCAATAAAATGTTGAGCATAGTGGATGGCCTTCTTAATTAATTAGATTCAATAAATTTATATGATATATGATTCACTAGCTTGATGCAACCTTTACAGTAGTCAGTCAATTATCAAACTACAAACAGTTTATTCATACAATGTGATAATTTCATGCAGATAAATCTTGTATAACTCTTGATGCAAGATTACCAGCAACAGGTGATTTACCTTCTCCTTGTTCACTAAAAACTAAAAGAATTTCAATGTGAAGCATAGCCACATTACCTGCTAGCAACATGAAAAGTTCCCGCATTGCGTCCATGGAATGAAGGAGGAACAAGTACTTCCTTTCCTTTGACTCTACCATTGCCTCTCCTACTAGCAACTATGTCATCAACACTATTTGGTGACACTGTATTATTGATAGAAACCACATGATCAGCATGCCTCTGTTCAACATCTTCTGTTTGAGGGTTGCTCTGTTCAGCTAATTGTTTTGCCCTTGCGATATTATGAGGTGAAATGCACCCATTTCGCACCAATCTCTTGTGCCCTCTACCTCGTGGAGGGGTGGAAACAAATGGAGTCAAAGCCACTTGCTTTTCAATTTGAGATCGAGAATCATGAGATAAAGAAATACCTTTGCCGCGGTCCACAGATATACTAGGGCCTGTAAGTGTTTTATTATCAAGTTTGCACTTTCCAGTGAAGGAATTTCTAGATGTATTGGAAGAATCTGAAATGGCTGGCAATAAAGAGTTCCCAATAGTTGCTTTCAGCACTTTCTTGTCTTCGTTTGCATGATCTCTTAATCCACGATGTGAGAAAGTTGGTTTAAGTTGTTGGCACTGTCCGTTCTCTTCAGTCAAATCTAAAACAGAAATACCACAGTGAGATGATTTAGAAGAAACTTTGGAGCTTACACTTTTCCCTTTCTCCGCCTTTTCAGCTCCAATAGAATGTGTTGTTTGACCTCTCCTAAAGATGGGAGCATTTTGAGAAGGATAAGATTTCTCTGACGGTGACAATGTTGTACAGTTACTGTTATTCATTTCAACTGCAGCATTGAAAGCTCTGCTCCTCTTCTCAGGATTACCTAAATATTTCTGATCGCCACCCTTCACAGTTATTCTATCTGGGGTATCAGGAACTTCCACAATTTGATCAATTTTCATATCTTCTGCCATATCCTGTTTACAAATCATAAGAGCAATCGTGAAACATTTCTTAAAACAGGAAAGTAATAAATGAAAGTAACTTATGCACATGAAAAATAAGAAATCTCCATATACAGATGCTAAAATGCACAAAACACTCCCCAATATACGTAACAGAAAAATGGTTGCAAAGAATAGATAATGAAAAATTTGTCCAAATTTGAACCCATTACCAACTGAACACCAAGGCGCAACTTTACTGCTGCACCAGGGGTCGCACTCATGTACTATATACTTTAACCAAAAAAATTATCGAGAAGAAAAATTCAAAAGGACAAAATGGAGAAGAACACAAATAAATAGGAGGACAAGAAGATCCTTAAAAGAAAAGAAAGATCAAGCATTACAGAATAAAAGATATCAACATAGCAAAACAAGCCCTTTAAAGGACCATGTGTTTTACATTATATGGAAGCCAAACACCTAAAGTATGAAGAGTTTTTCTTAAGAATGCAAGAGTTCACTCCTGCATCCATATGAACCAACTTATAGCAAATATTGGACAATAACAAAAAATTGTCTTCTTTTCATCTACCAAAAAAACGTAAGGCTGGTCATAAAAAAATTGATCCAATCGTATGTGGCACACCAAACATTCTCTAAAGTTGCAAGATTATGAATTCCATCTCGTAGAACAGACAAGGAAATAATTTTGAGCTTGCTCTACACATAATAAACATATCAGGGTTACTTTATCCACATTTCATATGTTCCAAAATAACTAATTTCATAAAAATTTGTAAAAGAATAATTGAACAGATAGAAATCAGTGGATAGGCAAATCTAAAATGTAAGAGGAAAAGTTTAAAGCTTATCACAATTTAAAATTCCCTTATTTTAGCAAAAGAGAATAAAGTTTTTTTAGATAGAAACAAAGAAAAACATTGTAGAGTCAAAGTTAAAACATTTAGCTTCTGATAATAGCATTAACGTATCCTAATTTCAAAATCCAAAATTTTAACTTTCTTCCTAATGAATAATTTTCTTTACAACAAGAACACTAAAAGACATGAATAAACTGAAAAATCTAAACAAACACCTGACATAATAATGAATAAAACTTTCCAATGTTTTGTACCCTTATTAAGCTACGTAACATAGACCCCGATTTAATAAACCATGATATGCAAAAGCTTTTATCACATAGTACAGAAACCTAATAAGTGGTCAAAGCCTTTTAGCAAAGTAGTATGAAAACCTCTAGGAATGGTACAAAATAATAACACTAACAACCTACTAGTTAACACAAACAAGATACGATAGAATCGAATTGTTTGAAATGATAGTTTGCACGCTACAACCTAGCATTCAGAGGTCAAAGATTGAAAGAAAACCTATATATATATATATATATATATATATATATATATATATATATATATATATATATATATATATATATATATATATATATATATATATATATATATAAATAACTTGAGCAATTTGCCAATCAAAACTGAAATGTAAGAGGCTACAGAAATTACTGGTAGCAACAGTAAAAGAACCTAAAGCCAATCATATTGAGCTGAAAGGAGAATTGCTACTTCAATAAAATACAATAAAATAAAAAACATGAACTCAAATTTGAAGGGAAGTTCAGCATTCATCCCGACATAATGAAATCACATCAATTACAAGTAATCATCTAACATCACTGAATGGGTTTCACAAAAATCACAGAGCAAAAAAAAAATAAAGGAGCAAAATAGTTTATATTCCCAAAAACAATGTGAAAACGAAGTTACTTCACCATACCCCCGATTTATATAACAGAAAAATCAGGCCAAGAATAAAAAAACAAAAACTGAAACAAATGCATAAACAAGCACCATCAACCTCAGATAAAAATTCGAAAAACGGTGCAAAATAATAAGAATGAAAACCTAATCACCAACACAAAAAGGATCAAAGAAACGATAAAATCGATTTGTTCGAAAATGGAAAAAAAAAACACAAAACAACACGAACGAAAAACTTATTAAAGAAATGAAAACAAGCATTGAAGCGCATTTCGAAAGCATAAGCGAAACAAGAAATTTAAATGAAAAAGAGGTGAAAAAGAATACCTGATTAGTAAAGAGTATATTTTATTGTGAATTTGAAACACGAAGATGAACGGAGATGAGGGACAAGTATTTATCCGAGCAGGAAAAAGAACGGGTCGAGTCGATCCGAATTCCAGATGGATCGAAGTACCCAAATCGAATCCCAGAACTAAAGAGACCGTGAAATGAAACAATTTCAATTGTGAGAAACTCTTAATATCTAATTAATTATTCAAACAAATAAAAAAGAGAGTTTAATGCTTATTAATAATTAGGTAAAATATATTTTTTAAATCAGTAGATTTTTTCTTTTTTAAATTATCTTCATCTTCATACACTATTAATTATTATTTTTTAAGTTCTTTCATAGAATTAATTAATACTGTTTATAATTGTTTACTGTAAGAAATTGCTCTTGTATATGGTTATAGGTTTGTAATGTGAATAAACAAAATAGAAAAAAATAATAATTAATTAATTATAGGGATATTGCTACCATATTTCCTAATTATATATTAGATAAAGAATTTTTATAACTTTAAAAAATAAATTATTTTTATAAAATTTATTTTTAAAATTTTTCTTGAATAAAATATTTCAATTACCGATAAATATAAAAAGCATAATTAAATAATACTAGTATTAAGAAATACATTTTTTTCCAAACATCGAACCAAAAATAATCATTGCATACTTAACATAGTAATTTCGACATTAATATATATTAATTGAAAAATAATTCTCATGTATTTCTATGGATAAATAATATTACTAGTGTTAATTAAAAAATAATCTTATCAATATGATTAAAAAATATTTATATACATTAGTCGAAAAGCCTTAGTTGACATCGTATGAAAAATGATCATGCTAATATTAATTGAGAAAACCCTAATTAATATTGGTAAGAAATAATCTTCACTTACATTCTACTTGTTAGTTGTCATTAATGAAAAATAGCCTTAGTTTACACACAAAAATTTATGTTTGATATGAATTAAAAAATAATAGTGATCTATATTGACAAAATATTATTAATATGGGTGATGATCATTGAAAAATAATAATCTAAAAGAAATTTAGATCTAAATAAATGATGTAGACATGTTAATATCTATTACGTTGATAATGTCTTTAGTAAAGATAAATTTATGACAGATTAATATATAAATATATGAAATATAAAAAATTGTAAGAAAAATGTTAAATTCTTTTTTTAATATTATTTAAACTTTTTTAATCAAAAGATCAAATTATTATCTTATAATTTCAATTTATTTTATCCAAATAATATAATTTATTACAAAACATTTCAAATGCTTTGTGAAGATAAATTATTCTTTAAATATTTTTTCTCACCGTTTATTTTATATTTATAATTGAAATTATAATATAATATCATATTTATATATTTTAATAATATAAAAATATATTTTTAATTATAAATTTTTATTTTTATTTTAATATATAAATATTTTTTAAAAATAGACTCTCTTATATTTAATTTATTAAATTAATAAATTAGGTAAAATAAATTAAAATAAATTGAGAACCAAAACTATCCACTGGATTTATGATTTTAGAGTTTAAATTTTAGGATTTAAAAAAATTGAAAAATTAGTTGATGTAAAGCAAATTTAAGAATACTTTAAAAATATTTATTAGTATTTGTTATTATAACAATTATTTTTATTGAGACATTATTATTCTTAGTAAGATTTTATTAATTTTAATTTCGTAAAACTTGTTTTGGCGGAAGCCACTAATACTAATACTGAAATAATTTACATTGTTTTTTATCGAAAAAATATTTATTTTTTCTATATAATTGAGAATATAAATCAACTTATCATTTTTCAATCCTATAATATAATTTTTTTAAGATATTTAATTTTGAAAACTAATCTAATCCAACAATATCCAATAAATGATGATGTTTCAAATATTTTTAAACGTTTAGACATTTTTTTAAATTATACTATTTAGTGAGTTTAATATTTTAACACTTAAAAAACCAAAAATATATTTATATAGTTTAAATTATTCAAAATTATTTTGGAGTCACTAATTATTTTATATTGTATACATACAAAAGGTAATCATATTTAAATGATTCAATATGAGATTTTAAAATTTTTTTATAATTAATTTATTTTTCATGGAACTTAAATTCTATACGGATTTCAAAAATAATTTCTTTGATACAAGTGAATGTATTTTCAAATCCATTTTAAAAAAATTTAAAAAAACTTACCTTATTTTGTGATTTTTACTAATTTTTTATTTTAAATGGTTTAAGTTTTTAAATGATTTTTTTAATAAGATAATTTAAATTTATTGAATTTTTTTTGGATAAAATATTTCAATTATTATCAAACACAAAAATTATCATTATTTTATTTATTAATTAGGTCTAACTCAGGAGTACGTAACTTTTACTCATATGAGTCATGGTGAGCCAAAACAAACAATGTTAGATTAGATTATGTCAAGTTAGAACCAAACTAGTAAGATTAAACTTAATCAAGACATATAGGTCAAAAAGATTGGGTCAAGTCAGATCAACTAGCTAAGTTAGACTAAAACTTGTTAAAATGAGTTAATTCATGATGTGACTAGACTCATTGCGTTAAGATGAGTTAAAACGAGTAAAATTATGTCAAAATTAATTAGGTCAAACATGTTAAAGTAGGTTAAACTATATCGTAACTAGATAAGGTAGACTAAGATGAGATAAGGTAAGATTAAATCATGATGTATTGGGTTAGAAGATATCAAATCAAGATAAGTCAGGTTTGACTGGGATAAACCAAGTTGAGATGAATTGGTTTGGGTTGATTCAAGATTGGTCAGGCTTACTTTGGACAATTAACTTGTACCCAATCAAGAAATGTTAGATTAGCAAAATTAAGTGGCATTGAGTTATACCAAAAGGGGTTAGATCAAATCAAATGACGTTGAAATAGATTGGGTTAGATCAAGATGAGACATGTCAAGTCAATAATAGTCAAGTTTGAATGAGTTTAGTAGACACTTTCTTCCTACACGATCATATTTTCTCTCAACTTTAGTAGTCAAGTTGGAATGATATGCCAAGTAAAATAACTAAAATACCCTTTTAATAGTTTTTGTTTCAAATCTTAATCCTTTTCTTCTATTTTTCCTACAAAAGTTTT